TGTCTTGGAAATACCATATTTTGAATGCTTCATGCAGCATTCATATTGCCTAATTTTACCCACCTACAAGTTAAGCAGCTATATTTTAACCAACTACAAAGGTGAATCAGAGGAGTGAATTGAATTGATTGATCAGTGCAGATCAGCCCTCCTATTACATACAAGGGCTGGAGTGATGTTTGATATTGGCTAGCAAAAACAGTAGTCATATCTATATAACAATATATTCTTATAAGAATATAAATATATTCTTATAGAAATATAAGATATACATATAAAAGTTATGTATGAAGAAATGAATTGGTGTTTGAACCAAATACAAAGGCTAACTGCAATACTAATGTAACCAGAGCAGTGCAATAATATGTGCTTGAAATGATTTGTGTGGTCAAAACTAGCATAATATTTTAATGTCTTAGCTAGAATTGCTAAGAAATTGCTATGAGAAAGTAAGACAAAGAAGAATGTTTAAGAAGGGGTGGCTGTTGGGAGCTTTCTGGGCAACTTTTCTGGATGCCCTGAGGACCTCAATGGGAAAAAACTCCACATATTCTAACCCTTGACTTCACAGAGACAATCTCATTGTTTTCTGTGATGAATTGTAGCATGACTGGCCCAAGCTACAGCTAGAACAAGGTGGGCTCATCAGATCTTTTTAATGCTTCCCTGTGTCTGATGGACAGCATCCCACCCAACAGCCGAGCTGATGAACACCAGACTGCTTCTGAGCTTTCCTCAGTAGTCAGGCTTGGAAATCTCCACACATTCTGTGACAGAGGTTCGCTTCCCCCAAATCTCTGTTTTTGCCAAGACCCGGTGTTTCAGGGTATTTTTGCAGTGAGGGTGGTGAAACACTGGCATAGGTTGCTCAGAGAGGAGGTGGATGCACTGTCCCTGGAGATGTTCAAGGCCAGGCTGGATGTGGCTCTGGGCAACCTGATCTAGTTGAAGATGTCCCTGTGCATTACAGGGGGTTGGACTGGATGAGCTTTGAAGGTCCCTTCCAACCTAAGCCATTCTATGATTCTCTGTCCCACCAGGCTTCTGGAAGCTCTGGGAATGAAATGATCTTGGTCTCATCCCATCTTACACTGCCCAATACACAAATGTGATGGCAGAATTTCCCATGTAAAACATCCCTGCACAACCCAAGTGGGGCTGCATCCTGGTGACTGAGCAGCTCAGCACAGTCAAGTGTCCAGACCCATCTCCTTGAAACCCCTCTGCCAGCCAGCACCCAGGGATAGCTCTCCTAAGGAATATCATTTGCAGGCACAACACACTGCAGCAGCTAGCACTTGTAACATGAACCCAAATACCTATGAAAAGCAGTCAAGCCACAGCCCCAGAGCTGCTTGCCACCACTTCAGGCATGACTTACACCTATCCTGCATCCCTAGTGGTTTGCAGGCAGGGAGAAGGACATCTGCATGACCTGAATGTGCTTGGTTAGTTAAATCACCTTGGTTAGTTAAATCACCTCTAGCAAAAAACGTGCTTTCTCTGTTAGCACAACACAGCTAACTAACACAGTCTGTTAGTGATACAAGACTGGTCCCCAGTGCTGGAAATCCTGTGCTTCATTGAAGAATCCAGTCTAATCACTGCAGAAGGGGTTAAAAAGCCACTGCATTCCTCTCTTCGAGTCCTTTTGAGGATGCAGGGTAGGGATTTCTTAAAGCAGAGAGCTCAGCCATTCAGCAAGAAAAAGGGTAATAAGATCCGTGCAGCCAGCATCCACAGCAAAGAGAGAAACATGTGTAAGTGTTTAAAACTGGGGCCATTGCCCTTTCAAACCATTTACCAATGGAGGGCAGAGGAGAAAGGCAAGAATAGGGACCAGGTGAATTCTCCTCCTGGCAAAGGAAGCCTGGATATCTTTTTTACACAGATCCTCTTGTTCCAGTCCAGGGATAAGGCTCTGGGCTTATCACAGGAATGCTCAAGGCAAAGCCATCGGGACCTGCAATGCGGGAGGTCAGAGAGCACGGTCTGATCATGGGTATGGGTTTGAGCCTGCAGGCAAAGGGCAAACTGCTCGGATTAGAAACAAAAGAGGAAGGATTTTTTCTTTTTTCTGTTTGGATTCACTTTCAAAAATCGAATTAAAAAGAAAAAAACAGAAGAACAAAAGAACGAAGGAAGAATGCCCGAAATACAACAAACACAGGAACACAAGTCTGCCTCTGTTTAGGGCCTGGCTGGAGATGAAACCCAAACGTTTCTGAATTAGAATAAACCCAACAAAGTGAAGGACATTGTGTTTTGATGGGTTTCATTTTATCCTTTGATAATTTTTCATTTGTATCCAGCAATGACATTTCATTCGGGGCTCTGCCTCAGTGCACATTTTATTCTGGAGCTTGATTTCACGCTATTGCTGCATACATCAGTGGCTCCAGAGATTCGGTGACTTGGTCCTGCTCCTTAGCAAATAGACACGTCTGCGGTGTGCTTTGCTGTAGATACTTTCACAAGCCATTTCCCCATTGTGCAGGCTCATAAGTATTCCTCCAGCATGGCTTTTTCTTCCATAGGAAAAAACAACAGCAGTGAAACTGAGAGTCAGGAACAAGTAAGCGATTTGTCAATGGCATCTTTGGACAATTAAAAATCCCTGCGTCTCTGCTTGTTTTCTCTGTCCTCAAGAAGAATAGAGAAAACTGGAGTACAAGGAAATGTACTTGCTGCTCATCTGACTTAATTAAAATCCAGGAACAGGGGGAAAATTGCAGAAGTGCTTTCATCACTGTTGGCTCCAAAGCAACCTAAGCAACTGATACTGATGTCAGCTGGGAACGTCAGGGGTACAGTGCGTCTTGGCTTGAGCAGAGGGAATGGTTTAGGTGATCTTGCCAAAACCCTCTGCTTTTTGATGATCTGTTTGTTGCTGGTTTGGAGATGGGGTGAATCTGTCTCAAACCATGAGTTAAGTGTCCTGTGTCTCAGTTAATGCACCAGGAAAAAGAAGATGCAGCCTTGCAGTACTTGAAGGGGGCTACAAGGATGCTGGAAAGGGACTCTGCATCAGGGACTGTAGTGATAGGACAAGGGGTGATGGGTTCAGACTGAAACAGCAGAAGTTCAGGTTGGATATAAGGCAGAAGCTCTTCCCTGTGAAGGTGCTGAGGCGCTGGCACAGGGTGCCCAGAGAAGCTGTGGCTGCCCCGTCCCTGGCAGTGTTCAAGGCCAGGTTGGACACAGGGGCTTGGAGCAAGCTGCTCCAGTGGAAGGGGTCCCTGCCTGTGGCAGGGGTTAGAACTGAACGGTCTAAAGGTCCTTTCCAACCCAAGCCATTCTAAGTTGGGGCTGTTCAGCCTGGAGAAGAGAAGCTGCATGCAGAACTCATAGCAGCCTTCCAGTATCTGAAGGGGGCCTATAGGGATGCTGGGGAGGGACTCTTCATTAGGGACTGTAGTGACAAGACAAGGGGTAATGAGTTCAAACTGAAACAGGGGAAGTTTAGATTGGATATAAGGAGGAAGGGTGTAAGGGTGCTGAGGCACTGGAATGGGCTGCCCAGGGAGGTTGTGAATGCTCCATCCCTGCCAGTGTTCAAGGCCAGGTTGGACAGAGCCTTGGGTGATATGGTTTAGTGTGAGGTGTCCCTGCCCATGGGGTGGGGTGATCTTAAGGTCCTTTCCAACCCAAACTATTCTATGATTCATGAGTCAGGGTTCAAAACCCCATGTCCTCTTTCCAAGAGGAAATGCTGAAAAGGGTGTGTTTGATGCACAGCACTCATTGTACAGTGAATGCACACAAGAGGTGAAGGTTTGCAGGAGCCTCTTTCTGTCCTTGCAGCTTTACCTTTCTACAGGGGACCAGCAAATCTCTTACATTATTATCAGGATCCTATTCAGAGGAAGCAATTTCTTCAACTTCTCTGGCCTGGAGACCAACTTCTGTGGTATAGAGGACTTTTGAGATTGTAAATCCAACAGCAACCTCCATGGCCCAGCCTAAGGGTTACGCTATCCTGAGGCTCGGCATACTGCCTCACCTCTGGAAACACCACCTCTGAGAGATGCAGTGGGTTGTGAAACACATCTTCTTGGGGATAAGTCTCTACACAGTGGGATATCTGCTGTATTACAACATTCAGAGCCAAGAAGGGGAGAAAATGTTAGTGGGAGAGGAGCAAAGCAGATACATAACACATGGGAAAGAGCTGTCCCTCCCCACTAATGCAAATGTTCCCTTCAGTGTGTCCCATAGTGTTTGTCCTCCCTGAAGTTGAAAATATCTCCAGGAACAGCTGCTTCCATCATTTCCCTTTGAAAACAGTCATGTATCCAAGAGGCTGCTTAGGGAGTTTTTCCCAGACACCTAATATTTTTACTCCACAATGTCACCCATTAACCTGTTAACCCCTCTCATGTTTTCTGAATCATCCCACTTCCTCCATCCCAGGCTGCCATCGAGATCTTCCCTTAGTCATCTGCATTTGACCAAAGCACATTGCTTGGTTCTTCAGGGATGCAAAGCTGGCTTGAACCCAGATTTGTAGCTTCAGATTCTCCCCCCTTATCTACTATAAATTGACCCAAACCAGTTTTCTTGAGCTCATGATTTCTGTTTCCAACCTGAAGAACAGATCCTGTGCTCAAAGCATGTTTCTTCTTTAGATACCACTACTGTGCTCCTTCAGAAAAGAGCCCTGCATATAAATCATAGAATTATAGAATGGTTTGGGTTAGAAAGGACCTTAAGATTGTCCAATTCCAGCCCCCTGCCATGGGGACACCTCACACTAGACCGTGTCACTCAAGCCTCTGTGTCCAACCTGGCCTTGAACACTGCCAGGGATGGGGCAGCCACAGCTTCTCTGGGCACCCTGTGCCAGCGCCTCAGCACCCTCACAGGGCAGAACTTACATCGAACCTTATCTCCAACCTGAACTTCCCCTGTTTCAGTCTGAACCCATCACCCCTTGTCCTATCACTACAGTCCCTGATGAAGAGCCCCTCTCCAGCATCCTTGTAGCCCCCTTCAGACACTGGAAGCTGCTCTGATGTGTCCACACAGCTTCTCTTCTCCAGGTTGAGCAGCCCCAATGTTCTCATCCTGTCTCCATATGAGAGCTGCTGCAGCCCCTGAGCATCCTCATGGCCTCTTCTGGGCTTGCTCCAACAGCTCCATGTCCTTCTTATGGGGAGGACACCAGAACTGCACACAGTGCTGCAAGTGAGGTCTCACAAGAGTACAAGAGAGGCTCAGGATCACCTCCTTTGACCTCCTTCAACCACACTGGTTACAAGCAGTGGGATCACAGTCGCAAATGGCTAATGCCAAAAAGTGAAATTCCTTTTGGCTGAAATGACAGAGGATGGTGCCTGTGGGCCAGGGAGTGGTGTGTTGTGCTGTTGTAGTTCAGCTTTTGCTGTTCATTGTGGCTGTGATTTACAGCCTGCTGATGGGTGTAGCGTGGGTACTTGGTGTTGTACTCTATCGAGAAAGGCAATCTGTGTCCTGAAGAAATGACCATCAAAACAGAGAAGCCAATCTGGAAAGAGGGAAATCGTTTACCCATTCTGTTAAAATCAATCCCCTTGAGTTCTGTAATTGATAGACACAAAACAGGCTGTGAACCCGTAGCCAAGCAGGGATCTGAACCCAGGTCCCAGCCCAGTGCTGCAATCACAAAGCCTTCCTTCCTCTATTATCGGTGCATTAGGAAAAGGTCTTTGCGACCTAGAATGATCTTTAAATGACTCACTTTTCAATCTTTCAGCATCCCCTTTGAGGGGAGGAGGGATGGGGAGAAAGGCAGAGCTTTTGTTATTGTTGTTTTCCATCTTTTTAATTTGCAGCTACATTGCTTGTTAGTCTAAAAGCAAATTGAGACAAGGCTGAAGTAACCATCTCAGCAATAAAAGCTCTCTGCTGAGACAGACCAAACACTCTATGAAAGTGCAAGCAGGGGTGAAAAATTGGCTGCTCGAGCTAAACAACTGCTCAGGTTGACTTTCAAAGACAGTCAAGTCTCATGCCCTCAGTGGGACACACACACACAGAGCCATGTCCCCCACCACCCCCTTCGTGCATACATTTAAAGCCTTTTTCCTACCCTAAAGGGGACCTCACGTTGGACACAGCAGAGGGACCAGATTCATGTACTAACAGCAATGTTTTGCCAGGTCTTTTGTTGAGGGTGGGGGAAGAATGCTGATCAAAGAATCCTTAATGCTTCCATGCATGTGATTTCCTTTTCGTGGGGCCTGAGGGATATGATCCTGGATCACCTTGTCAGGGAACCCCTTCATGGGAGTGAACCTGTAGTCTCACATGTGGGAGGGAAGGAACTGGGTGCTGAGGAGCTGGCACGGGGTGCCCAGAGAAGCTGTGGCTGCCCCATCCCTGCCAGTGTTCAAGGCCAGGTTGGACACAGGGGCTTGGAGCAAGCTGCTCCAGTGGAAGGGGTCCCTGCCTGTGGCAGGGGTTGGAGCTGGAGGAGCTTTAAGGTCCCTTCCAACCCAAACCATTCCAGGATTCTGTGATTCTGTGACTTTAGTGAAAGCAGTCCCTCTGCAGGGTTTATGGATAAAGAAGAGGAACCACTCAGCATCCTCTCTTCCAGAACCCAACAAACTATCAGAGGTTAACAACTAACTTTAATATATAAATGTTGACATTTCCACCCTCTCACCATAACCACAAGAGCAAAAATCTTGGAGATAAATACAGAAAACCTGAAAGTCTGAAATTATCCACATAACTCCAGAAGCAGAGGCCTTGAGCAAGCCACGAAAGTCATCAGCCATCAGAACTGGGAGCATTGCTTTAAAGCTCAAGTGTCTTAGGATACATAACCCCAGAGGTGATGCTCTGGTAGGAACTGAAGTGGTGTTTTATTTGGAGCTCTCCATAGACCGTGAATATTCAAGTGAAAGGGTGAAAGGAAGAGCCCATGAAACCTTTCACAACTCAGCCAGAAGTGCTTGCTTCCCTGCAGAGCCGCAGGATGGATGGATCCAGACCCACTTCAGTGATGGTGTCAGGATCTGCTCTTGGGTTAGAGGCTTTTGTTCAGCACTATCTCCTGAACATAGGCTGCATGTCATTAAAGTATGTGAGCTTTTCCACACTTATCTGTATTGAACCTCTCAAGGCTCCCTCACTAAACCCCTTCTGTCTAACGAAGTAATTGGATTAACAGACAAAAAGCAAATCAGTGTGTTTAATTGATGCTCCCAGGTAAATCAGCACAGGTAGTGCTCATGTTTAAGGGCTGCTCCCGAAGGGAAAGCAGAACTGAATGAAATCCTTTCCCCAGCTTTCTTACCATGCCCAAAACTGATGTGAAAGGTTGGGATTTTCTCCCCGTTTGCCTTTTGCACTAGGAGTCATCTGGATCTCTCCTGTCCTGTTTGTGCGTGTCTCATACTCCTGGAATATACCGCGGGTGAGCTGAAAACTGATGGGGCTGCAATATTGAACAGAGAAGTGTGAAGGGACTAATATTTAGGGATGGAGGGTTTTTTCTTATGCCTGGTTTAATTTGTACTCTTCATTTGCCTGCGTGTAACTGAAATGCCTGTTAAATGGTTGGGAGGAGAAGCACTTTTGCTACAAATCCAACATGCTGGCTCTTTGAGTTAAGGGCTATGCAGGTATCAAGGGCTTCTGCCTTTGGCCTTCCAAAGGAGGGCAGACCTTCATTCCATCCTGCTCTTCCTCAGGATTAAACCAGCAAGGGAAATAAATCACAGATATGAAAAGAAAGCTATTAAAGGGAGAAACAAATACTCAAGGCTTTTCTGATTTCCTTTCCAGCTCACTGTTACAGACATAACACATAAAGGTCTTTTAAATCAGGGGTCTTCATGATGCGTTGTGTCTTCAGCGACTCTGGGTTGCACCATGGTAACTTGACCGCTGTGCTCCACCATAGACACTCAGAGGGAAGGATAGTGATGAACAGAAGACAGAGAAGAAGAGAACCAAGATATGTGAGTAGCCTGGAGGAACTGGTTTATAGGCTGAGATCAGAGAGAGCTATGCAGGGCAGAGCAAGGACAGAGGGAGGTTTATAAAGGCTATTACTCACAGGGATTTTTCCCACCCCAAGAACAGGGGAAGACTGTATGGAGTGGGATACCGGAGGTTTCTGCAGGACTGTGGGACACCCTACACTCTTTCTTGGGACATTTTAAACGTTATGAGGAAGAGCTGAGGGACCTGGGGGGTTCAGTGCGGAGAAGAGAAGGCTCAGGGGGGACCTGATGGCTGCCTCCAACTGCCTGACAGGAGGATGGAGCCAGGAGAGGCTGGGCTTTGCTCCCAAGGAACAAGGGATGGGACAAGAGGAACCGGCCTCAAGCTGCACCAGGGCAGGTTTAGATGGAGCTGAGGAACAATTCCTGCCCCAGAGGGTGCTCAGGCATTGGAACAGGCTGCCCAGGGCAGGGCTGCAGGCACCGTCCCTGCAAGTGCTCACACAGCGTGGAGACGAGGCCTCAGTGGTGGCCTTGGCAGTGCTGGGAACGGTTGGGCTGGATGAGCTTAAAGGGCTTTTCCAACCATCATTCTGTGATTCTACTATTCTAAGTCAGGGTGGCTCAGAGCCTGTGCTAGGGAGAACAGAGGCAGCACGGATCGACAGAGCTGCTTCTCTTTGGATTTAGAGCCAGTTTCTCCTTGCAGCCCCTGACGTACTTCTGCAAGACCCCATGAACGCAGAGCTGCCCCTGTGCTTCCCCTGCGGAATCAGCACCCCCGCAGCGCTGCCTCGGTGCCTCCGCTCCCTGCGCGCAGCCTCCGCCTCTGGTCTCACGATGGCAGCATCGTGCTGCAGCAGAGCGCAGCCGGGACCCGCGCTGAGGCTTCCCCCGCCCAGCCTCTTCCCCAGTGATCCTCACCCTTCCCTGGGGCACATCGAGCGGCAGCGCTCGGGAGGCACCTGAACCTGGCGCAGGGCTGGGGTACAGGGAAAGCCAGCACTGGACAGAAGATGGGACCTTGCCTCCTTGCTTCAAGCAAAGGAGCTCTTTGCAGCGGACTCCCTCCCTTTTTCAGGATGTATCCAAAGGGTTCCTGTAGCTTGGCCCCTGATTTTCCCCAGCTCCTAAACATAAAAGGCAGTGGGTGACTTTGTGTGGAGCCATGGAGAAATGCCCAATATGGAAGGTCCACAGTGAAGGGATGTGGATGTCTGGGACCAAACCCTGTTTCACTGGCACCTTTGCATTGGGAAGAAGAAGGGGTGCTTGCTTGGAGGAGAAGACAGCAACACCTTCAGTCTTTGGTCTAATTTCAGTGTATCTCACTGTTGAACACAGGTCCCTGAAAGTTTATGCTCTGTAGTGTCCATGTGTAGCAGGTCTGTTTAGGTAGCAGGGCTGGGACAGACCCCATAGAGCATCTTCTCCCACCATCCTACTGCACATACCTTCTGGCTATCACAGTCGTGGGACCCAAGCCTGCTTTGGGAGGAGGACAAGGATGCTGGGGGCACAGGAGGGTTGGTTTCTGGCCCTGTCTTTACCATTAGCTTTTAACCTGCTTGTTCATGTGCTGTAAAACCTTCCCCAGGGTTACCTGTGAAAGCTGGGAGCAAAACTGGAGAGGGGGGTCTGGAGTTTGGGAAGCAGTTTGCACAAGGTAGGAGGGGTTACGTGGGGACTCCAGGCAGCACTGGAACAGAACTGCATTAAATCAAAACCATATGTCTGCAGATTTACTTCCCTCTGATCTGGTGTAGATGTTTGCCTGGCCCTGTGCACAACCAGTTCAAGACATTAATCTGTTAGAAAGCCTGGTGTTTTTCCTTGGTTGGATTTGTTTTATTCCTCTTTAGAGAGCTGAGCTGGCACACTGAGGTGTTGTGCAAGAGCCAGACTGACACCAAGGACATGCTATGAGTGAGGAAAGGGGCAAGGTCAGAAAGTTTGTAGACCAGTTCTGCTGGTTCTGTGAATGACACTTTCACAGGGCCAGGATGCTGCTGCCTCCAAGGGTTCGCTTCTCTCTGGATGCTCAAATGCAAAGACAACCCCACAAGAGCATCACATGTAAGCTGAGCTGGTTAATGTAAACCCAGCCTCTCCCTTCCAAATGACAGTGTCAC